AGGTTAACTTCTCAGCCTGGTGCTACATTACCAAACGGACATAGTAGCTTATCCCTTCGAAGCCATCCCCTTCGAGGGGAAAAGAAGGGAGATGGGGACCTTTCTTGTATAAATGGTGACATGGAAGTCAGAAAAAGTTGTCGTTCCAGGAAAAACAGATTTGAAAGCGTGAACCAGAGTTTGTTATTTGATCAACTAGTAAATAGTACTGCTGAAGCTGTACTACAGGAAATGGACAACATTAACATCAGACGGAATCGTCAGTCAGGAGAAGTAGAAAGACTTAGAATGTGGACTGATACAGAATTTGAAAACATGGATATGTATTCAAGAGTGAAAAGGCGAAGAAAATCACTGAGAAGAAATAGTTATGGGATACAGAATCATCATGAGGTCTCCACTGAGGGTGAAGAAGAAGAATCTCAAGAGGAGGATGGAGATATAGAAGTTGAAGAGGCAGAAGGAGAAGAAAATGATAGACCGTATAATTTGAGACAAAGGAAAACAGTGGATCGATACCAAGCACCTCCAATAGTACCGGCTCATCAAAAAAAGAGGGAAAACACACTGTTTGATATTCACAGATCTCCAGCAAGAAGAAGCCATATCAGGAGAAAGAAGCATGCCATTCATAGTAGTGACACAACTTCTTCTGATGAAGAACGCTTTGAAAGGAGGAAATCAAAAAGCATGGCAAGAGCAAGAAATAGGTGTTTGCCTATGAACTTCAGAGCAGAAGATTTAGCTAGTGGTATTCTCCGAGAACGTGTCAAAGTGGGTGCAAGCTTGGCTGATGTTGATCCAATGAACATTGATAAATCAGTGCGGTTTGATAGCATAGGTGGATTGAGCCATCATATTCATGCACTAAAGGAAATGGTAGTATTCCCACTTTTATATCCAGAAATTTTTGAAAAGTTTAAGATCCAGCCTCCTAGGGGCTGTTTGTTTTATGGCCCTCCTGGCACAGGTAAAACCTTGGTTGCCAGAGCATTAGCTAATGAGTGCAGTCAAGGAGACAAAAAGGTCGCTTTTTTTATGCGAAAAGGAGCAGACTGTCTGAGCAAGTGGGTTGGTGAATCTGAACGGCAACTTCGGCTTCTTTTTGATCAGGCATATTTGATGAGACCTTCCATAATATTTTTTGATGAAATAGATGGATTGGCTCCAGTTCGCTCCAGTAGACAAGATCAGATCCACAGCTCTATAGTGTCAACCCTCCTTGCTCTAATGGATGGATTAGATAATAGGGGTGAAATTGTTGTTATTGGTGCTACAAACAGACTTGATTCTATAGATCCTGCTCTTAGGAGACCGGGTCGTTTTGACAGAGAATTCCTTTTCAACCTGCCTGATCAACAGGCAAGAAAACACATTTTACAAATCCATACCAGGGATTGGAACCCAAAATTGTCAGATGCTTTTTTAGGTGAACTGGCTGAAAAATGTGTTGGGACCTCCATCTCCGAAGCAGCATCCCTCAGCTTTTGAACCACAAAGACCTCGACATCTTCTGGTGAGGAGAAAACGTAAATCTCTCCAGCACTACTCCAGTTTAAGCTTTGCCTGGTATAAGAGAGCATGCGCCAAAACCATTTCATGCTATTGTGGAGCTGATATCAAGGCCCTGTGCACTGAAGCTGCCCTGATTGCCCTGCGGAGGCGTTACCCCCAGATCTATGCTAGCAGTCATAAACTGCAGCTAGATGTTTCCTCAATAGTGCTCAATGCCCAAGATTTTTACCATGCAATGCAGAATATTGTGCCTGCTTCTCAGCGTGCTGTCATGTCTTCAGGACATGCACTATCCCCCATCATAAAACCGCTGCTGGAAAGAAGCTTCAACAACATCCTAGCAGTCTTGCAAAAAGTGTTTCCTCATGCTGAAATTAGCCAGAGTGACAAGAAAGAAGATATAGAAACTCTGATTTTAGATGATAGTGAAGATGAGAATGCTTTATCAATTTTTGAGACCAGTTGTCACTCAGGATCACCAAAGAAACAGTCATCAGCTGCTGCTGTACATAAACCCTACCTTCATTTTACAATGTCACCATATCATCAGCCAACCTCTTACAGGCCAAGATTATTGCTGTCTGGAGAACGGGGCTCAGGTCAAACTTCTCACCTTGCTCCAGCACTTTTGCACACTCTAGAAAAGTTCTCTGTGCACAGACTAGATCTCCCAGCACTTTATTCAGTTAGTGCCAAAACACCTGAAGAATCATGTGCACAGTTTTTCTGTTTTCTACTACACCTTGCACATCCACCAATCCAAGACACCCTATAGAACTTTGGAAAACAATAATCCTTGGATTTTCAAGATCCAGGATAAGAGGGTGCGTGTTTGCAGAAAAGGTCAAAATTTGAGAGTCCTGGAGTTGTACTGTACAACTGTTCTGGATTGGTGGATATGCAAATATTAAAGGAAGGGAAGGAGCAAATATTACTTTTGATATTTTTCGTGAAGCTCGAAGAACAGTACCTAGTATTGTTTACATGCCTCACATTGGTGATTGGTGGGAAGCTGTCAGTGAAACTGTGAGAGCTACTTTTCTGACATTGCTACAAGATATACCATCATTTTCACCTATATTTTTATTGTCTACCTCTGAAACCATGTACAGTGAACTGCCTGAAGAGAACTCTTTCAGGGTGCCTGGCTGACACAGTTCACTAGAGAATGCAACTCTTGATCTTGGGGTCACGAGTTCAAGCCCCACCTGAAAAAGCTGAAAAAAGACTGAAAAAGCAACCCACAGAATGGCAGAAGGTTAAATGTATCTTTAGAATACAGTATGAAGAGGTCTTGTATATTCAAAGGCCTATTGAAGAACACAGAAGAAAATTTTTCCAAGAATTGATTCTCAATCAGGCATCAATGGCTCCACCACGGAGGAAACACACTGGTCTTTGTGCTATGGAAGTGCTTCCCCTTGCACTACCTTCTCCACCTCGTCAGTTATCAGAATCAGAAAAAAACCGGATGGAGGACCAGGAGGAAAATACTTTAAGAGAGTTGCGGTTGTTTCTCAGGGATGTAACCAAGAGGCTGGCCACAGATAAACGCTTTAACATCTTCAGCAAACCGGTGGATATTGAAGAGGTCTTGTTTCAGTAGTGTGCAAACAGTGAAGTTGAACTGGCTAAAAGAAAAAAATGTTGACATCTTTTTTTGGAAGGAAAAAAAACAAAGGTTTCAGATTATCTTGAAGTAATCAAGGAACCAATGGATTTATCAACAGTAATAACTAAAATTGATAAGCATAATTACCTGACTGCTAAGGATTTTCTGAAAGATATTGACCTCATCTGTAGCAATGCTCTAGAGTACAATCCAGATAAGGACCCAGGAGATAAAATAATTAGGCACAGGGCTTGTACCCTGAAGGACACTGCACATGCCATCATTGCAGCGGAATTGGATCCAGAATTTAATAAACTCTGTGAAGAAATTAAGGAAGCAAGAATAAAAAGAGGCTTATCGGTAACAGCAGAACAAATAAATCCTCATGGCACTGGAGCTCGGAAGACTGAAACTAGAGTTGAAGAGGCATTTCGGCATAAACAAAGAAATCCATTGGATGTCTGGCACAACTCTGCAAATAAATGTGCATTTCGAGTTCGAAGAAAATCAAGGCGGCGATCACAGTGGGGTAAAGGAATTATTAAGAAAAGGAAAGTCAATAATTTAAAAAAAGATGAAGAGGACGCTAAATTTGCAGACTATGAGAACCATACAGAGGACAGGAAGTTGCTAGAGAATGGAGAGTTTGAGGTAAGCACTGACTGCCATGAAGAAAATGGCGAAGAGACCGGAGACCTCTCTATGACCAATGATGAATCATCATGTGACATCATGGACATGGACCAGGGGCAGAGGCTTAACAATGGAGCGGGCACGAAGGAGAACTTTGCATCTACTGAAGAGGAAAGTTCCAATGAGTCTCTGCTCATCAACAGCAGCGGTTCTCTAAATCCAGAACAGACATCTAGGAAAGAGCCTTTCCTTAAAGGAAGCTGTCTCAATGGTGAGGCCTCCACTGACAGTTTTGAAGGAATACCAGTTCTGGAGTGTCAGAATGGCAAAGCTGAAGTAGTCTCTTTCTGTGGTAGTGGTGACAAATGTAGTTCTGAACAAAAGATTGTCCCAGAGGACCAGTCAAAAGAAAAACCAGAAACTTCGAATGAACATCATGGAGATGATCCTGAGAAACTAGACGCCCTGGAATGTAGCAGTAATGAGAAGTTAGAACCCAGCCCCGAAGTGGAGGTTAAAGATGCAGAACTGGATAAAGAAGGTGCTTCTAAAGTAAAGAAATACCGTAAGTTAATTTTAGACCAGGCAAAAACAACAAGCCTGGAACTGGTTCCAGAAGAGCCGTCTGAGCCTGTGCCGCCTCTTATAGTTGATCATGAGAGATTGAAGAAATTGCTTGATTTATTGGTAGATAAAAGCAACAATCTTGCAGTTGATCAACTTGAGAGATTATATTCTCTTCTTAGTCAATGCATCTATCGTCATCGTAAAGATTATGACAAATCACAACTTATAGAGGAGATGGAAAGAACAGTTCATATGTTTGAGACATTCCTATGAACTTTTCAAGATGAGTGGTTTATCCTCTCCCATCTGCTCCTGACAGAGCAGTCTTCTGAGCCATTCAATTTCAAATTGCACCAATTATGTGCAGAGCCTTGGTGTAAAGTGCTCTCTCACTCATTCTTTCTCTCTGTTGAATTTGGTGCTATTGTCTCAGGTACTTGAAACCAACCAGCCTACAAGAACCAAACAGAACTTCAGAAACATGTTGTATTTTCCATAAAAAAAAAAAATACAACCCCAAAAAAAAAAAAAAAA